TCAGGCAGTTATGAGCATGACATTGATGAATCAGCCCATTTACGATTCTACTGTGCATAAAAACAGGTTAATGTCCCCCTTTTGAGAATGGCCTACAGACACTTCAGTTAGTAATGCCGCCGTGGGGGTAGGTCTGACTGTATTTTCATCATTATCAAGACACTGAAAGACAATACAAAAACAAAGGGCTTCAGCTTACCATACAGAACAGAAAAACAAACCAGTGTACACAAGAGGTGGTGGCACAGACAGCCCAGACAACTCCAGCATAACTCTGCTGCGCGTGCATCCATGTGTAATGTGTGTGTGTGTGCGTGTGCGTGTATGTGTGCGCACATGTGTGTGAGGTGAGGTGAGTTGTGTCCTGACTGATAGCAGCCACATCCCACACAAAAATAAGATCAGAAAGCTGAAAAAGTGATACATATACAAGTGTACAAGGAGTCAAGCATATCAGCACATCCACCAACCACACAAAACTAAGGAGAGCAACTGATAATGACTCAGTTCACAACAAAACAATTCAGTGTATATGATGCACAAATTGCCTTATAAAAAATAGCGGAGCAGTGGCCCAAACCATGTAGAATCTAGCGCTGCATGCGCAAGAATGTACAATCTGCATCATCAAGAATGTACAATCTGCAAGACAAAGAATGTACAATCCGCATGGGAAAGAATGTACAACAGCGGTGTAGAAAAAAACATCAAAGTCAAAGCTAAAACTACAACAAGTCATAGACAAGTCAATAGAGATGAAGAATTCTAAAACATTTCCAAAATATCAAGACTACCTGAGCTTACTCTATCAAGAGCATAACAAGAAATTGGTACTTTGGGGGGGGGGGGAAATACTGTTTTTGCAAGGGGTAATCCCCCATGTTTATCAACACTTTTTCATTCCAGTAGCACTTCAATGGGCAAGAAAAGGAATTTTCTATTTATGAAATTGACACAACCAACCGCTGAAGAACAGGACACTGACCTTTAATAAGTACATAACGCAAGGGTGGATCATTACTGAAAGTTTATTTGATGGCAAAATGTTAATGAGTTGGCCCCACTGGCATTGAAAATATGCAAATTATCAATATATACAAAAAATAAGTTTTTTTATTCCTCCACTAACACAACTTAGATCACTTGGGAGGCAACCTGTTTCTATGCTGCCTGTCAGGGTGCTCATTGGGACACAGCACAGCAGACAGACAAAGATACTTGATTTTTTTAAAATCTTGCCATTGGAAAAATTGAACTCTCCTCTTCTAAAGGCAATAGCGAAGAACTTAAAGACTACACAATACAAGCCACTACAATATATGGCATTTTATTCCAACATTTTATCCCCTGACCCACTCCCTCCAAATTTTCCTGAACCGTCCCCAAACTTTAATAGTGAATTATATGCTGCTAGTGTTAGTTACAAGAATCCTGTACAGAGTGTCGCTAGACCAATGTTCCTTCTACACTGCGCAAATACGCTGTTCCCTGGATTTTGCACAAAAGTGAAAACACACAGTCCAAAGCTGCTCAATGAACACAAACTGACCAAGCACTGAATTAATTACATGGAAACGCTGCTGAATACTGCAAACAACAATGAACCAGATGAAATTGGTTCCGATTTAGAAATTTCCAGTGCGGAATATAAAGAAGCAACAACAATTGCCTTCATGACGAGTCCCATGTCTTTGGACATGGATCTCGAACTTGGCACTGGGGCAGGCAGGGAGATGTCTCTGCAGTCTGGACTGAAAATACCAAGGGGTTTCGATGTCAATGTAGGAAAGTTCGACTCAGGAACAGGTCCCACCAACTAATCCTGTTCCATTTGATGTCACCCCTAATATGTAACTTGTCCCTCCATTTCAAGGAATCCAAACTCCAACCAAAGTTGGACACCAGTGACAACCAGCAAAATCCTCCACTGGCCGATTTACTCACAACCCTCTTGCATTAGTAAAATCATATTGGTGAATGCTTCATCATCAGAGAACAATAAGCCTTATCAAAATGTATGTGTTGATAACACAATGATCAAGTTCAGGGGTAGGTGCCCATTTCTTCAATACACACTGGTCAAGACGAGTAAGCAGGGATTAAAAGATGACAAGATGGACAAAAAATTAATGGGCACTACAATATCACAAACATACTTTCTTGTTCTGTTGCCACTGCAAAACAAATGCTCCAAATCCAAAGGAAAAAAACATGATCAATAATAGCATTTTTTTAATGAATTTTTTGCTGTCTACACCACTACCTCTTAAAAAGTATCACTAGTAATTCGGAACTCAGGGGAAGTATTTGATGGAAGTACTAAGGGGAGATTAACTCTTTTTATCCTGGCCGTACCCCCACAGACTCTGTACCAGTCCTGGGGCCGCCGCGCCATATGAGATGGAATTCAGAGTGTATATTTCAAAGTGCTGTATTTCTTACATTTACTTTCAGGTTTTAAGGAAATTTGGCAGTGGTTAGAAATTGAATGTAGTTTTTGTAAATGTATGTGGTTAGGAATTACACCAATTACACCATGTAGATTTAGAGGTGTACTCCATCCTCCAACTTGACCCTGATTGCCGCGTCCACGACGTCCCCTTGGATTTATAGATCTATCCCTAACCATCTTACTGCACGAATTCCAGTACTGACCCCTTCACTATGATCTGAATCGCTATTCGAGGAGTCTACTTCTGGTTCGTTCCCATCCACAACCGAATTTATGGCACTTGACCCAGAGTCACTTTCATCAAATTAGTCTCATTCCCCCTCACAACCCAGCGCCACTTCAAGTAGTACTTTGTCGGTCATGAATGTGCGTTTTCGGGACTTTTTTCAAGCTTCTACACCCATCAAAAACAAAGAAACCGTTGCTCATTGGAAATTTTAAATATTCAGAGCTAGCATCGCCGTATTTGCGTACTTTGGTCATTACAAGCAGAACTAATGTTTGACATGACCGTATAGCTGTTCCGAGTTCACTCGTAGCCCGGACTGGACCTCGTTACGAGTATACTCGTAGCCCGGATAAAAAGAGCTAAGTGTAAAAATCAGGCAAAGTGCGTAACACACCATACTGGGCGTCAAATAAGGGTTCGTCATTCTGGTTCAAATTATGCCAGCACCAGGTAGTGTGCTACGTCTCTGTAGCAAAACAAATCAGTTTTGGCTAGCAAGGAGTCCACTTTTCCTCTGCGCGCTGCCAGAACAAATCTGACAGCCAAAAATTAAGAGTGAATATGTACATAATTTACAAGAAAAACATGATAAATTCACACTAGATCACATTTCCCCCTTAACTCCAACAACAATTGGTCGCTTTTAAGGACAAGCAGGCTAACCCGGATTTCTGAGGTTTCCAGAATTCTTGACCTACACCAAAAGTGGGCATTGCCCTACCTATAGAAGAAGTTTGGTTTTATTGGTGTGTATATTTGCTTGGTTATGGAGAAAACTCTCCTTGTGTTTTTAAGAAAATGAACAAGGGGCAAAAACTTTACCTTGATTTTCTCAAAACAGCATTTTTCGGGATAGCCCCCTTGTGCTTAAAAGCGACCAATTATGTCGACAGGCTGGCCAGCCTGCACATTTGCACAGTCACACACGCCTATAGGCCTACCCTTCAAAGACTTGTAAACCTAGACACAGGAAACTATAGAACAAACAATTTTGCCCCCATGCAAAAAAAAATAAAAAATCAATGGCTCTAGCTCTTATCACCATATAAGACGTGGTTACATCCAAGTCAAAGGTCCACAAATATTAAAACGCACAAGATGTTCTATAACAACTTTTAAAAATCACCTTCCACAAACATGGTAGGGATTTGAACCATTGCTACCCGCTCTGTGGTCCAACATGATACCACAACTGAGCTAACGGAGCGCCCACACCTGTAGACTGTTAGGCACACACTACTTCTATCATTCACATAATATAAACGGGAATATTATTTATTAATCGGTGCGCTCTATGAAAGACGTTCTGACACTGCATTCATAAACCATAATTTTTAAAAACTAGTCACAAATATGACACAAACTCCAGAAACGCCATACTCCAAGAGAGTACCAAACAAATAGAAAGAAATACTGTACAAGAATCACTGGAGCACCATAATATTATATATTTACTCTAGGTCCATTTATACAAAAATTCAAAAAGTACTTGGACAGAAGCCATAAATATTTAAGGGATAAATGTAACTTCGGCACCTCATAAATGTGACAATTGTGAACAGTGAACAATAAAGAGATACAAGAATGTAACTACTGGAGAACCAAACAAGGGGAAGGGGGGAGTTGTGTGTGCGTGCGAGTCCGTCTCTTCAGTCTTTTGGAAAGAAAGGAGACGAGGGTGACGTTGATGCATATTTTTAAACTATTCTCTAATTTGTAACATAATTATACAGTAGAACACCGCTATAGCAGGATTTTTGGTTCCAGAAGAAAAATCCCGCTGTAGGCGAGTTCCCGTTATAGGAGGGCAAAGGGCAAACTACCTAATAATTTTTTAAAATAAACATGATTACCTCCCTTCCATATCAATAAACCTTGCCCTTTAGATTAGTCTTCCTTTTCTTGTCAACTTCGTTGATTATCTCATCCTTTAAATCAAGTGAGAAGCATTTCCTTTTGTCTTTGTTGGAAGCCATCTTCTCCTCAGTTTGTTACTTGTACTGTCTATCATACCGTTAGGCCTACTGGAGAACTGGTGAAGTGGATTCATGCGTATGCCTATGAGCATCAACAATCACAATTCAAAGAATCAGGAATCCCACACTGCACTCTCCCCTCTTCTTTTACTTTTTGGCCTAGCCTAGGCCTATGGCCTATACGCTTTCCTACTGAGCGTCTAAGCTACGGCACATCACTTTTGGAGTGGCTCACGTAACGAGTCTCTCCACACCATCTCTCTCTGCCGCCTTCCCCACCTCACTCATCACTGGACTCGGCAATCACAACGCCGCACCGCTGACTGCTTGTTTGGAGCCCGCCTACAGCCCCCCAACCCCCTCTCCCCCAGCTAGAGCTCGCTCGATCTCTCCCGCTGTATCCGAGTTCGGACCTTTCCTTTCCCCATTATACCCCAGCACAGGTAATTGCGTTTACATAGGAAAAAAAGGGGATTCCGGTAAGGTCTCGGTGTAGGGATGGTCCCGACGTAGCAGGTGCCGCTATAGTCGTGTTCTACTGTAATGACAACTTCAAGTTAAAACTTTCCCCAAGACATGCACCCTCACTTCACTAAAACAACTCAACTCCTAACACATGTGAAATCTTTTGTAAAATGGGGGTACTCCCGACCTCAGCTTACGAGCAATCCATAGGTTGCATAAACTATTCGCTTCAATGGTCACCCATTTCTTAAAGCTAGTGCACTCACAATCAATTGATACAGCTGTCCTACTGTGTAACTTGCGCAGATGAGACGTGAACATTTTTTTTTTTTCATTTCAAACAAAATCCTATTTCAGACTGGTTTTACGCACAACACAAGAACACTCATCAATCTGCCAAATTTCAGCGGTTTGTCAAAGAAGATATCATCTCAGTGGATTCAAACATGTAAGCAACAACACTACAAACAAAAAGACCAAACAGCTATCACAATCACTGGAATCTCCCCCTTCAGTTTCTACATCTTTGGGCAAGGCTGTTCATGTCATGAGCGTACAAAACGGCGTGCTTGATCCCATTAGTTAATTGTAGTCTTCCAGCAGACGAGGGTCATTAGGAGGTCGAGGTCGCGACATGAGCGGAGAGCTTGGTCGATGAAGCAGAGGACCCCGTGATCTGGGGCTGTTGTAATTCGATGATGACCTAAAATAAAAACAGAGGAAGTTAGAATAAAAAAAACAACCTGACAATCACCAAAAAAATTTCTTTTAAAGCAACATACCTAAAAAAAACACAGTGGCATAGATTATTATCCTTGTAAGAAGCAGCCACAGAAAAATAACATCACGTACAGAAACCAGGCTCAATATAAAAGAAAAGTAGAAAAACACTTACCATTATCACTTGTGTATAATAATTCCCCTTCACATGTTAAGACTTCAATGAAAGCACCAACAAAAAACAGACTGCTCGGATTTAACACTCAAATCCTCGACTGTCAAATGAGGCTATGTTAAAGCAACATTATTATAGAAGGAGCAGGATTTAATTTACAGATATGACAACCAACTGTTCTGTTGCATTTAGACTGATGTACAACTAGCTTTGGTGCTCTCACTTGCTATGACAATGTTTTAAAAAAAGAACTAAATCCAACATACATTTAACACAGTGACTATTGCAGCTTTTAAAAGCAAACATATGAGAATTTAGAATTAAGTCTGAGTGTTTTTCATAAAATATTTGGATCATAAGTCCTTTACATTTTTCTATGCCAAAATCAAAATAGCAAAAAACTGCAATATGCTTAATTAAAATAAACCCATAACTTAAGTAGTCAACTCACAACATGCACATCTTTAATATATATATAACTTTTATGTCAGTAAATTCAACTTTAATCTGGACTTGAAACTTTACAAGAAAGCCTCATAGAACTTAAAACAAGGCCAGAAAAAAATAGGGACTGAGGACCCAGTAGTCTCTTACTTTCTCTTTTTCAACATGCAACAAAGTGGGTATTATTTTTCTCTCTACAAGTATAATTGGAATGAGGTGCTTTTTACTCTGTCTGTTTCTCTGCATGTCAACAAATAGAAAACCATGATAGTCATCCTTGCATCTCTCGACCTCAGTACCTTCTTGTCCTATCCTTATCTCCATTTTTAAAAATTGAAAATGTGACTTCTCCTTTAGCTCACTCTTTGTTATGAACCGTTTTCACTGTCATTTAAAATGGAGATAGGACAAGAAATCACTGAGGTCGCAATCTATACACATAGCCCACCTGACATCTATAAGTCTAGTCCCAAGGATGTATTCCACCTTACCTGCCATGCCAAGGCCCATCTCCATAGTCTCCCCGGCGACCCTCCCAGCGCCTGTCGTTATCCCTGTCTCTGTCGTACGGCACCCCATCCCACCGAGGGTCCGGCAGAATTCCTTCCCATCGCCCGCGGTCTCCTGGTCCACGGTCTCCTCCCCCTCTGTTTCCTCCTCCCCCTCTGTCTCCTCCTCCCCCTCTGTCTCCTGCTCCTCCTCTGTCTCCTCCTCCCCAGCGACCACCATCTCTCTCCCTCTCCCATCGACTTCTGTCAGACCGTCTATCCTCATCCATCCTCCTCCTGTCTCGCGGGGGATCCCATCTCCTCTCATCAGACCTCCTCCTGTCCTCCGGAGGTCCTCTCCGCCTCTCCTCTTGCCTGAAGTCTCTCCTGTCTTCCGTCCGCTCCTCCCTTCTTCTTTCTTCCATTCTTCCATTATCAGGGCGTGCTCGTTCTCTGTCCTCCCTCTTTCTCTCGGGACTTCTTCTTTTCTCTGGAGTTGCACTTCGGGACTTGCTCTTGCTGCGGCTGCTTCTGCTGCTGCTGCTGCTGTCACTCCCAGCTTTCATTTTCTTACTCCTTCGTGACTCAAGCTCCTTCTCCTCCTCCTCAATCTCCTTGTGGCGTTTTTCACGTTCCCTTCTCCTCATTTCCAGGGCAAGATTTCGAATTTCCTCTTCACGATCCTGAAAGAATAAAATCTATGGTGAAAACGATTTTCCAATCTAGTTACACATCTTTAATTTTCATTCACAATAGCAGCTAAGCACCCATGCATGTATACACACGCGCGCCCTCGTGTTTTCTCAGATCACGGTCACATCTTACTACCATCTACATTCCTACATTGTTGGAAATAAAGATTTAAGACTTACCTAGTTATATAGTGTCCGTAAAAGAAACATTCTTTCTATTCATACAGGAAAAAAATATTCTATAAATTTACCTGAACTTTGTAAGGAAGTTTGTTTTTCTGTTTGCTAACTTTAAAAGCAATCCATAACACAAAAATAAAACATCTCTTTTCATGATACATTTGTTCCCCATATCAAACACAAAACAGGGTCTCTCGTGGTCTAGTGGTACAGTGTTCACATCTCATTCAAAACGTCCCAGGTTCACAGCTGACAGCGACAGGAAAAATGTTCTTTTCTAAAAAAAAATGTTCCCCTTTCACTTCCTTTTCTGCTCTCTAATCATGTTCATTCATCTGCTTTTATTTCCACTTTCTGCCCCCTGCCCCCCCCCCCCTTTGTTTGCCCCCCCCTCTTAGCTTTTAACTCTTTTCGCTGTCTTTCTACTGCTACTCCTTGGGTCCTCCTTATTGCCATCGATCAGTCACACCCTTGATCTTACGGTAGGTAAGTATGACCTAACACCTAGCATTCTCGGATAAAGGCGAAAAATCTCGGAGGTCCTCTGTGCAAGCTGTGCACATTAAATATCCCTTGGTGGTCCTAAAATTGATAAGAGTAGGCTTCAACCGCCAGCCGGGCAAAATTTTTAATTAATTCCTACCAAACTGGAAATGCTTATTGTGTCCCACCCGCTCATATGATCTTAGGCAACTGCGAGCGCCATAAAACACTTACAAAAAAAAACAACCCAACAACAACAAACATGACTTGTGAATGGCCCAGACCCTGAGTGCAAGACGAGCAAAGGAGGTAAGACACTAGAGCGTCACCACCTCACCACACAGGCTTGCTGTCTGGTCAACATCTACTCAGCTCAAACAACTTTACCATTCTCTCTTGCTCCAACTGAGATATCTTGGATATCCTGGCTTTTTTGTCGGCTTTGACTGCAACAAAATGACAAGCAATAAACTGTCAGCATCACTGATCACCAGTTATCATATATACAATACATAATATCTAAATATAATTCATTCATGGCGTTTACTCTGAATGAGAAGCAAAAATGAGAACAAAACTGAAACCCCATTAAAAAATATCTTTACTATCTCACTTTCTTTGTCACGTACTACCGACATCATTAACTCACTCAGCCCTGGGGCCAAGGACCCGTTGTAAATTTGGAAAAAAATATTAAATTAACTTCAATCGCCTTAATATTTCACAAACAAATTGTTTAGTCATTATATGGTCTATTATTGTTTACAGAATTCGAAAATGCGTGATAGTCTGTGAGATATTTGAAAGAGGTCAGCAACACACACTAAAAAGTAGCTCAGAAGAGAGACATTTCCCTCTTCGTTACCGAGTGCCAAGTTATTTTCAATTGTAGGTCAAGAAAGCAACCTTTGCCCTTGTAATGTAATAGTCTGTTTCTTATAAAGAAATGACCAGGGATCACTTATAAAGTATAGAGAAATTTCCATCCCAATATTGTTGGGTTCAGGGCCCAGCGCAGAAGTGCGTAACCCAACTGTCTAGGGCTCAGGGTTAAGTGAGTTAATGACAAGTCAGGTCATTCAAACACACACACACACCTTATATTTATATCAACCCAGTCTCAGTTGTACAATCAGGGTAACTGAATCTCTCTTTGCTTTGGGGGGGGGGGAGTAGGTGTTCAATCTTTCTGTCACACCTTTATAACTTTGTCAAAAAATAAACTTTATCCACAAGTACTCACACTGCTTGGTCAGCTGAGCCTGCATTTTTCTCTTAAGACGCTCTTTGGCAGTCAACAGAGAGTTCTGGAGAGAGAGAGATTACTTGAGTTAACATCCACCCCAGGGAGAAAAAAAATTACACAGTAACATTTTTTTAAAATACACACCTCAACGAACAATTACTAACCTACAAGAAATAAATTTATCCCTACCATTGAGATTCTAGTTCTTTAAAAAGCCAAGTTTCCCTAAAAAGAACAATTCCTTGTGCGTCACCCCCCTGAATCCCCTTTACATCCACCTTACTTTTATTCCTTTCACTTTATCTTCAGAACATACATTAACATGTGACAAAAAACTCCTGAGCGTAACATTTGTTACATCCATTTATTTCTGAATTTGTGACCTGAAAGAATACACACTGGTAGACATACCAGAGACTGCTTTCACATATGTTCATATTAAGCTATAGGCCTACTAAGAACTCTGAACATAAAAGTGACTAACAAAAGGTTTCTAAAAAATATTTAGAAACATGGTATCTACTTCCTAACATTAAACAGCATTCGCTTATGATCTTTAAAAGGCAAAAGTGAAAAGGTCTCAGGATTACATTTCAACCTCAGCATGTAAATTAAGGATAAGAGACAAGTACAGGTCAAGGGTCAAGCCCATATCTTCCTACAGCCAACATTAGTCCCCCAGAGAGTAGTGCAGATATCATATATTAAGGCTACTTTAATACATTGGTGAATGTGTAAAAAGAATTTCTCACAGCATGGCAGTTAAAACGGGATCAGGCTGATTCAATCTAAATATCTTTTTCCCCCATAGCTTTAAAAAAACTATAATTGGTACATAGTACACAATTTCGGTGACTCCGAATATTACAGCTATTACATTTATTGTTCCTGATAAGAGAACTCAAAAAAAGATATCTGGCCTTGATTCAAATCATTCTCATTTGCACTCTTGCAGTGGCAGCTTATCTTGGTTCATGATGGTGCATAGTCATGAACTTTTCCGTGTGCTGTAGTCTACATGAAACAGAAACTATCTCCCCCCTCATTTGGATGAATCTATTTATGTTCAGTGCTTTGTAAGTGTTCCTATATATATATTCCAATACATTAGAGCACCATAGTCATTCACTAAAAACAATTATTAATCTCAGTCCACAGAAAATGTTTGATGGAAATGGAAGAGCATCCAAAGAAAGGCTCTTACTGACTTGAGATTGCTGTTTGCTTGAAATTTTACCACTCTGTACCAATGACGATCTGAAACAGAAAAAAAAAAAAGAACAAACCATCACTCATAAAGAAGATAACCTGGTTGTGTATTTTGCAGTCCTCATATTACACTCTACATAAATTCATGGGCTTAAGTTGAGGCTCAAGGACAGACCTGTCAGTTGAACATGAATGAATTTTTCATAAAGATCTTTCTTAAAAAGATCAGGTAAAGTCCTACACTGAACAAAAATTGAACAGGACATAATTTATGACCTAAGCATCAGTGTCATAACTGTTATATTCTTCGCCTTGCATGTGAAAGATAAGAGTATGATTTCAGCATAGGAAAGTCTATATCATTGTGTATTTCCTTCTTTCTGCTGGAACATAGAATCCAAATCCATCCACGGAGCTTTGACAGGCAGGTCAAAATAACTCACCTCAAAAATGATTTTAACTGTGTCATAGGAAACGCACAGCATTATTTCAGGAATTATGAAAATATTTTCTTAAATTTCTCCATGAACCATTCATAAATGTGAGTAAATTAAATACAGCAGAAGGAATAAATTGAATGATCAAGTAGAACCAGAAAAACAGATTGAACAATCAAGAGACATCCTTTAGTTCTTATCACACAAACTGCAGCAAGGGGTACTCACCCAAGTGGATCTACTAGAACATTCAAAACTTTGAACTTGATGAAACCTACATGATCAAAGATACAGTTCCCTACCACTTGCACAAAACAATTCTATAACAGCTAGAGTGCTAAAAACAGCCAGTTTGCTGTGTACCAATTTCACAGTGTACATGTTCTAAATACAAAGAATATACATGTTTAAGAAAAAATGCGGGATCCGATAATTTGTTCGCTGTGTGTGTGTTTGCTATGTGTTTTCTTGATCGTATGTCACTAAACCAATACAAAATATCTCAAGATGTAAAAACAAGATAAAACACAGGAAAAAAGATGATACTGAATGTTCCAACAAATGAGCTATATAAAGTAATATTACCCAAGTAGGGTAAAAGAGCCCCCCCCCCCCCACCCTCCTTCCAATAAGCAATTAAAACTAACTGCAGATGAAACAGAACTTCCCTTAAAAATTAAATAAAAGAGTTGTTCGTTTTCTTTTTTTCTGTCTAAAAAGTGAACTCTGTGTTCGGAAGTGTCCCTATCCATGACTTACTTTACATCATCCCTCGACGATGTCTTCGAAGAAGTTGAAGTGTCTTGACTTTTCTTGTTCTCGTCCTCCGAATCTAGACCGCTGAGCTCAGAGTTGGAAGACAGACTCTCCCTTCGGTATCGTTTCACCTCCGGCAGTTTCTTCACCGCACTATTATCAGTGCTGCTGCACAAAAAAAAAAAAAACCAAAAAAAAACCCATCAAACATACCCAGCTAGCATAAGATGATTACAAAAATTGTGCCTCCACATTCACCCAGTAATTAGTCAAGGTGCCTTTAACTACAGCTCACCTGCCATTGTGGTGCTGAGAGCAAACCAAGAGGACTGGGAAGGAACTCAAACATGTCGAGTTAAAATACAAAAATGCATTCATTACAATACAATCCAGGATGGTAGATGCTTGAAAAGGACTATAAAGGTTTTACACCCCAACTGACACAATTTAGATCTTTTCTGACCCTTAAAAGCTGCCTGTCAGAGAAAACCCTGGCTGAATGGGATACAAAATCTAAGCGACAGATTGAAATACTGGACAAACTTCCCTATCCAGGAATTGAATGCACTTCTTCTGCTTGCAATGATGAAGAGCCTAACCAACAACACCAATAGAAGCTGTTCATGCACATATTCAAAGCTAGGTTAAATCCCGAAAACTAGTTTGTGAAAAGTTGATAAATCTCACTGACTGAACCCCTGACTCCCGAAATACACTTCAAGTATATGCAATAAGATGATGGTCACAAAGCTGGGAGCTACAGTGTAGCAGAAATTATTATATCATCCTGCGGGCCATCTGAAATTGTGACTTTTGCTATGCAATCTTCTCTGACCCCTCCAAATATACATGCAGCATACCTCTGGGTTGTTTTAGATCGTGAAGACTTTGACCTTGACCTAGAGCGACTGCGAGAACGGGACACGCTTGAACTGTACGACCTCCGATCTCTCCTGGACCTGCTCACACTGCCTCTGCCACGGCTTTTCCCATCCGAAGAATACTTCCTCTGTCTCGACCTTGAGCGTGACCTTGACCTAGACCGTGATCGTGACCTGCTATAGGACCGACTGCTGCTACTGCTGTGACGATACCTTCTGGACCGGGACCTCGACCGAGACCTGGAATATGACTTGCTTCGACTTTTAGCCTGTCTGGCTTTAGAAGCTGGCCTGTTTACATAGGAATGGGAAGGGGGAGATGGGGAGAAAGGCCAGTTAATAAGCTTGTTGTAATCAGGAGTAAAAAAAAACACAAGAAAATTAGTTTTAGTTTTAGTAAAAGAGTTTTACGGCACTCGCAACTGCATAAGGTCATATGAGCGCCAGAAGATTAGAGGTGTTACAGGAGAGTAACAAACATAAAAAAGAAGAAGGGGAGATAAGGACGATAGATGTTTGATAAGACAGAAGGAGCAAACCACACCACAGCACCCGCCAACAAACACAAGAAAGGACACCACAGCATTTAATAATCTGTCATACATACACTACCAAGCGATGTTGATGGCAGGAATTTTCCTAGCCTACAGAATATTTAAAAAGAAAAACCTGAGAAGCGTTTAATGCTGTAGAATCCAAGCTTACTCTGTGTGCAACTTGGAAAAGACTTGTTTACTACCGACACATCCATACCATCCTCTAACACAAATCATGGATTTTGTGGTTTCTTCCCATAAACACTAAAACGGATTGTTTTTTTGTTTTTTCAACAATTCTGGCAGGTTAGAAATACTAATCAATGGAGTCGACGAAGAGTATATGAATGTACACAACATAGGAGAGCCCATTAACCTTGCTTTAAATCCAAATACATAATTCTTCATAGTAAAGAAATAACCACAGTGGCTCATTTATTACCAATTTTTCTCCCCGGATATACTTTTATAAACCCCTCCTTGTGAAGGAAAACAATTTTGCCAGAATTCTACACTTTTCCATAAATATCAAGAAGATGGATAACAGATGTCCCCACTGCGTCACCTATGTAGCATTCTTGACATCCAAATCTTGATCCACAAGAAAACGGGTGGTGAATCATGCATTACCCTTAAACACCAAAGACGAGGGGGGAACATGAAAAAAGTGTCCAGCTTCGAACCCTTTCAACAGTTCCTTCTATTCAAGATTCTCATCAGTTCTTTCTGCAGCTGTCCACAACAATGTCCTTGCTTATTCTCAAACAGTAAAAACTTCAGGAACCGATGCAAACATTCCACAAGAGTCACCAAATACTTTTTGCTTCACACCCACAATAGTTTGGAATTTTTTGTTTGTTTGTCTTATCTAGTCGAAATGAAGGAGACTCAATCTCAAACACCGACCATGAAGCCTCACACTTAGAGGACTCGGGAGAGGCAGCGCTTTTCTTCCCGGTGGCGACTTGTAGGTTGGCAGGTAACGACGGACCCTGCACCACAGCCTCCTCGTCACTGTCCGCACCAAAGCTGGTGATAAATTTCACCTCCACCTTCTCTGGCGTTCTGGAGCGGGAGCGGGAGCGCGACCGTGAACGGGATGATGATCCTGGTCTGAGTACACACATGGAAAAAAACAGACGTGGATTAAGATTCACTCACAATATTTATTTGAGTAAAGAAAAGCATAAAGACAAAACAGCAGTCTGACTGCTGAAACTGACTGCTGAGATAAAGTACGATAGATAGACAGAAACAAAAGATGGATAAAAAAAAGAAGTAGGCCCAACTATCCCCAATCAATAGGAATCCGAACTCTTTATGCTCACAGATTGTAAATCTGATGGGGTCAGGCATTTGCTTGCAAGTGAAAGATGCAGTAAGGTCCCTTCACACTGAACATAGTTAATCCAAAAACAGCTGTAAATCCAAAGTATAATTCTCTTTTTTTTTTTATTTGCCTTTGTAAAAAAACTATTGAAATACTCAAAATGCTCCCAAAGCTAAACCAAAAAGAATTTCAAGGTTTATGTCGTTAAATATTCACTAGCAGCCCTCAAGTAATGCATATCATCCAGTCTTATATGCTTCAGGATAGCAAAACAAGAGACACAAGAGCATTCGTGGGTCCATTGCAGGCCAGAGAGAAGCATAGCATGTGTCGAGGCCTAGTGCCGCAAGGATAGAAAATGTGTCTGTCAAAGGACTTTTGGTGGGTCATGGCCTATTGTTTCTACGTAGCTAGTTCACAGAGGCCATGAGCATAGGGTGTGTTTCAAGACATCACTGGCATTGGGCTTTCTTTCTTACTTCCCTATCTACTTTTTTGTCTAATTTGTGTGACAGCAGATCCAGTAAGCTAACAATGCCAAAGAGAAAGCATAATGCGTACAGTCTACAGCTCACATTGCATATACTGACACAGGTACATGAGAAAACATCTTACAAAAAGTGAACTTTGCCACAAGCGCTACATTCCCAACTCTATCTGTCACAAAATCATTGCAGTTAAAGCAACCATCTCTGAACCGAAAACCTAGTCAAATTGAAGACAATCAGGTGGTCCCACGTATTTAGGTTTAGGCAGACTCCACTGCTTTTCCTTTTTTTTAAATTACCTAAAATCATACTCCGTGCTTCTCTATCTTGTAAGATGAAAGTTTTATTTTACATTCCCATCTACCTTTGGTAATTTTAATCCAACAAATTTACCAAAACGGGAGTGGAGCACATAATACATCATAAACAAAAGGAGTGCATACTTTAAGCAAACGCACAACATCTCAAAATTCTTCAACAATATTATTGTCACTTGCATAAGACTTCACAAACTTTTAACTAAAAAAACATAACATATATATATCATTTATGTTCTTTATTAAAGCAACAACAAAAATTACTCAGCCCAACATATCTGAAAGACAGCTCACCTTTTGTAGGGTTCATATTTGGGACTCTCACGGGCTGCATAGCTGTAGATAGACAATTTACATCCTTTTTAACTAAATCATCAAATAACCACTGTTCACCTTCAAGTTAACAGGCAAAAAACTTTTAAACATTCTTTTTACTAGGCAAAAGAAGCAGGATGAAAGGTACTTCACTTAGAGAATAGCTTTATTTATTCAAACTTGAACAAGCCAATGGTATTCTATTTTTAACATTGAAGTTTTCAGATTTAAGAAATTCAGAACCCTCCCCAATAAGTCGTAATCACACTCCAGACAAAGCAAACTGGTCAAAAATGTTGACAGCTTGCTGCATCAATTCTACTTCAGCAGACAAACTTACTTGAACAGCCACCTGAAAAAGCAGGTCACTGGGGCATGTCCTTGAGCAAGACACAATAACCCTCGCTAGAAAAACAGGGCAGTGCTTAGTGGCGAACAGCAATGGCATGTGTGTAAAAGTAGTCTGTGTTGATGTAATATTGTGCATTTGGTTTTCTCTTGAGGCATATTTGTGTTTACATTAATGTATACATTTATCTATGCCATTAATAAAAAAACTGACCCGCTGCAAAGACAAAATGATTATTTATCAATACATTATATAATTCTGGTGGCCCGATCTTTGTTTCACTTTCATAAACCTGTATTTGTCAAAGAGTTTTCTTATACTCTGAATCAGAAGTAAAACTTGTATACCCATAGCTTGGATAGAAGAAAAACTATTCAAAAAATCCATTCCAATTTTTTCCGATACCAGAGAGAATACTAGTTGTGTTTAGTACCGATTCAAGCTCAGGAAAAAGTGAAAACCTCTCTTACAAGAAAACGAAAATAATAAGTTAGACCAGTCCCCTACTTTCATCAAATAATAAAAATGTCACCGCATCCATTTCCTTACCTTGGTCTGCTGAATCGATGAGGATTTTGTCTTTTTTCGTTGATAGCTCTTCTTTCTTTTCTTGACTTGCGTCCCTATAATGACAAACGTAGAGGACCACAATGTTTCATTTCCTTGACAGCAAAATAAAAAAATTAAGCAGAGCCAATCAGTAATAATCCCAAATCACAGTAAAAATGTTTCTTTATATCCCCTGATTAACAAACAGCTTTTTAGAGTGAGAGAAAGGCAAACTAATCCTGGATGACAAGACTTTCTAACTAAAATGGTTTGATAACGGAGCACAAAACAATTAGTAGATGTTGGGCTACTAATGTGCTAAATAGTCTTAATTCAAAAAATTCCATTTCTTTTAAATAATTACTGAGGTATTTGCCTCTGCAGCCTGGCTAAGCATCAAGTTCTCCATCATCTAACTCAACCATTCCTCAACACTTAACAGGTAACAGGTAAGGAATCCAAAATGATAAATGCCTTATAATGAAATATCAGCTCTTGTTTACGAAAGAATATAGCTATGATAAAGTCTACCAATATTTTTAAAAATTAATAAATATACATACAGAAAACTGAGCTTTTGCCTCCTCCAGCTGCCTCGCTTCCTTCAAAGCTTCCATCTCATCTTTGTCTTTGCGCAACAATCTGTATTGTGGAGTCAAATAAGACAAAACTAGAAACAACCTCTTCTTTATACATCAATTCTGTCCAGCACAAATGAGCCAACTCCAAAATTATGAAAATCCTTACTTTTGACTGTTATAAAGAAATGTCAAATAAATTAGCTCAATAAATGTTGCAAAAGTTGGTTAAATAAAAATGCATGACACACCGACCCGATATCAAAGTTAAAGTGGTTATTTGTGATTTAAATTAAAATGTTTTTAACCTCTCCTGTAAAAAAGACTTCCCGAGAGATGGCTCTTCTGTGCCTGTCACTGTAGAAGTACGTAACATGCTAATACATTCTCAACCTCCCTGCATTATCTTGCAAAGGATTGTGTATAATACATTAAAATAATCAAAAGTTCAAGCACAGATCATCAACCCTTACTTGCACCCACAGTTACCGATATTTCTCGGGATACAGTGGTCTATACAACAGATTCATCACAGGACAGAGACCATAGATAAATACAGCGGTCTCCTGCTAATAGCATTCAGCTGAGGTGACAAGAAAAGTGTGCTCTTGTGCAAACATGCTATTTCATTAAGTAAATTTCCAAAGGGAGTAATCAAGAGTAAGCATTCTTTCAAATTTCATTGATTCTTATGACCTACTTTGCCCCCGATCCCCCTACGGTGGGTTGAATCATTGAGCTGCGCTCACCCCAAGGTATGAAGTTTACCAACACCAGGTGATCACAAACAATGACTGTCATAATGAAGACATAGCCCTCTCACACTGTCCGCCTGCCATGCATAGTCAGGCACTGGTTTTCTTCACTGCCCAATTCTGTCTCACAACATGCCTCTATGTCTTTTTCTCCCATTCAAAGCTGCAATTTCAAGTAATAAAGGAGGGAATGTGGTGTTTGCTTATTTTCCATAGCTTCATAGCGAAATCAGTCATTTTTATAGCTGACTCATATCTGACACTAGCACAGGCACATTTCTGCTATTAGATGAAATCGTCCATTTGGAATGTGCACTTATGAGTGATAATTATATAGTAAATATACTCAGTTTAGCCCTGCCAGAGAGCTTTGAGGCACACTGTCCTTTTACCCAGTGTGCTTTTAGCCAGAGACCACTGAACAACACAAACACTGTGGTCTATGGTGACATAATGGTGCAAACCAAGAGATTGCATTCATCTATCCCTGATATTTCCCTCGAGTAAAAAAATAGGATCAAGAGCCGACTGTGTCCCTATGATACCATTGTCGTACATCCCTAACAGAGATGACACGACAATAAAAATTTAGTCCTAAAATTAATTCAAAAGAACTACTAAGTACAAGTTACTACTATCATCATCTCCATGCACGACTGATATACCTGATAAAATCCTCATTTTTGTTTCATCTACAAATTCATTTATGAGAACTAAATGAGTAAAAATGTTAATCGCTTTTTTTCTACATGATCAACATACCTGATAAAATCATCATTTTTCATTCCGTACTGTGCTGCACACAAGTTTATCTCTGAGCACTGCTCCGTGGTCAAAATATCCACATCTATTGTAACGTCTGTAAAGCAAAGGCAGGGGAAAAGTCACATGGCAGAAATTTGTCAGTTTATTAATCATTAATTTGAAATTTTCTGCATTGCCATGTACCAAAACTAATTCAAAAGAAAGCAAGCGCACTTCTTTCAGAGATTTATTTACCCATCGCCTCATATATACCACTGGTTTCACATCAAATGATTTTTCCCCCCTTAAAAGATACTCCAGTGATCCTTATTCATATTCATACGAGTAAAAGAAACAGCAAGGGGAGAAAAAAAAACATTTTTGATTCCTTGAGAAAAAAAACATGCTCCTCGAACATACTAAAAACACAGCTGAAAAAACAGACCTAGATAAATCCAAGTCATGAATAGCTGTGTACTGCCTTTCAATTTTATTTTTTAAATGGGCTTACTTGCTCTGAATCTATACAAAAAATCATCATTCTTGTTTTGCCTTTCCTCTTAATATTAAACAATGTCATATTTGGATGCTCCCAATTGTCTTTCAGCTCCAAAATATTGTTTTTAAAGTATTCATAATATTACTTCACTTCTCTGTAAAAGAAAAAAAAAACCCAAAAAAAACTCAAGACAGAATACTGACCTAAGTCTACAGTTTCAATATCTTCATCACTCTCCTCTTCTTCACTTTCCTCAGCATCTTTATCTTTGGCAGGCGTGCTGTCCTCATAAACAAAGCCGATAGCAGCTTTCTTGTCGGCATTCCTGCAAAAGATAGCGAACACTGCAATATCATTCCTCCTAGAAGACATGGCTATATCAACCCAATCAAATATCTTGCTAGTAAGATGGCAAGCATAAATACCATCTCAAACTAAGAAAACAAGTCTGAAATTAAACAAATGGTAATAGTACAGACACTCATTGCTACAACCCAATTGTCAGACTTTAGTAGATCAACAAACAAGTATTTGACATTGACCAGAAAGAAAGCCAGAATCATTCTCAAACTCAAGGCATGCAGGCTCCCTGATAGATATTGCAGGGACTCAAGATAAAACACCAAATAAAACCTAGTGACAAAACACTGATATAGATCTCGATATCAAAAGTCTCCGGGCTAAAAAAAATGTGGTGTTCAGCCTGCAATTTATCACATTTGAGAATCATGGAATCATTCCAGAACACAGTAGAAATAAAAATGTTCAGTTTCAAACATTAACACTGAACTAATATACCTAAATGAGCAATAAGTGTGCAATTTACTTTCTCTCAAACTGTTCGCATTCTCACAATGCAGACAACTTACTTTTTCTTCTCTTCTTCATTCCCTTTGTTGATGGTCCCAAAATGTTCATCCATATAGATCTGGTGCAAGGAATACTCTTCTGACACTGAAACATTAAATGAGAAAATAATCATTCACACATGAAGATAGACAATATCCCCAGCAGCTCTTCTACTAGTGCTAAATCTGAAACAGAGATCCGTGATCATGATTCTCCATTCACTATATTTGCTCGGATGTTCTCAAAAACCTATACCATCCTGACCTTTCCCCACTACCCATCTGTCTTAATTTTCTGTGAAAATTATTTTTTGGCTACCTTTGCCCTTTTTGCAGGTAAAAGTAAAATTTTTAAAAAGTATGACAGATGTCTAGGGGAGAAGGCATACTTTACACCACATGTTATATTACATGTTTTCATTTTTGATGAAACTTTATAATCCTCTTTTCAGGTGCTTGTAAAAAGAGGATCAAAGAATTAACAAAAACAAAAATATCATTTAAAATACTTCAGAAGTCTACAAAGGAGACCCACTTAGCAGTCCATATAAGACACACGATGCTTGATCAGTCAGATCATGACATAGATTTTGTCGACATACATGACCATAATTCATATGGAACAAGATATCAAATTTGTTCTCTACACAAGCAACAAGGAGGATATCAGAAACCAGGGGGATTTATAATGAACGCACTGAACACATTTCAAAGGAATAAAATAAAATTTTAAAAGTATCTCAATAATAACGGGTGTTTGGCTCACAACCAAACAATTGTGGGTCACTCCATCGGGGGCCCGACGTTGTTTCCTTGGGAAAGGCACTTAACATAAATTGCCACTTCACCTTGATGTGACTGACAGCTATAGACAGCAAAAGACCTGATCAGTTTCCTTGTGTGTGAGCACTTGATTAGCTGCTTGTACTGCACAGACCTTGCTGCTGAGCTAGGATAGGCACTATGCAAATACCATTTATTATCATTAAAGAGACATAACTACTTCCTCGACATTTCAAAATATCAACATCATTCACTTGTGACACAATAAGAATAACCATAAGCTGCATCAAACTTACATCCTGCTGCTTCATTTTCCACAAGAGTGCGATATCTTTCATAGTTTGCAAATCGTTCATCTTCATCTTCCCTTGATGTGGGGGGCCTGAAAAGAAATGAAGTCAGTTCATCTGCCTGCATTATATGTATGACAATTCACACAAAAATTCTAAATAGCAAATTTCTTTGCTTCACTGACTTAAATGCAATCTACAGTGGGTGATTTCTATGTTTGTTCACTTTTTCATTAAAGAAGGTTGATTTAATAAAAATTCATCATTTGTGTTCTTTGTCACAGAAGGAGAAAAACAGGCATTCCAGCCCTTTTCACCTTTTGTCAATAGCTCAAATCCAAAATAAAATTTATCATAAATATGCCATAACACTATAATCTAGTCAGTTTCACAATGGGGTGCTTTAAAGCAACAAAAATAATCTAAATGAGTCTCAAATTAATTAAAACAATAATCAAGCCCCTAGCTTATGCTACATCGTTTGATAGTAACAGTCCAGCACTACTCACATTGAAATTTTCTCCGGTACATACTCAGGGATGAGGTCAAGGTTGGCCCTCACATCAAACCGATCAATCATGTTACTAGAATCACCTTGCCAAGGCATCCTGAAAGAGGAAAGATTTAAAAAACTGACTGTCAATTTTTGTCGCTGCTTCAGAGTTTTGAGAACAAGGAAAAGTGACAAAGCGTTTTTTTCACCAATCAATCGATGATAACAGGACTTTCTGCCCACCATGAAATTTCACATGGGAGTAAGGTAATAAATTAGATAGACAAGCTTCTAATAAAAATCATTCAGATTTATTGTTACTGTTTTTAAAACAAACAACTTATAAAATATTGTTTAGTTTCCTGCAAGTCCCAACAATTCCCAACAAATGTGGTCATAGCAATCAGCATCTAGTGACCCATATATTCCTTGCTTGTTTAGAGTCTTGGTAAAACTTGCTTTAAGAGTGATTACACACAGCCTTTAAGAAGATCTATACTGATGCAGCCTGCAAAGTAGAAGTTCACAAACGGGGAAAAAATCTACTTACATGCTCTGTGGTCCTTCTGCAGCTGTAGCAACCGCAGGGTCTAAATGGATTTTCAGAGGCCGCCCATACATGCGCAGAAACTGTGTAGGATCTAGTTTCTGAAACATGATTTGAAATCGCCTTATAACTAGCTACACACACATCTAGGACTAATGGTAGAACAATGGAATATTGTGCATAATATGCATGACTGCTAGCAGTTAGACTTAGTATTGATAACTACAATTACTCAAAAGTCACCTGACTAGTCTTGTTGGCCAGTCTCAATATGATGAAATATCAAAGCAAACAGGTTTTCTAGATTTAACATTTCAAACAAAGCACCCCAAGGTCACCACTGAAAAGTGGGGGACACAACTGGAACCACTGCATGCCTGTCAGCAGTAAAAGCAAAATTCCCCAAAGAAACATGGTATGGAACATATTAAATATTTAACTACACACATGTGATTGTCTCTGGTATATTCCAAAAGCCTTTCTTCACGAATTCTTCGCTCTTATCCCTGGATCACCTGCTACATCTCTGGAACGACCTTTACTTTGTCTTGTGGGACCATAATTCATTCAAATATAACATTTTGAAAATAATACTTACAAGGGGTTAATAATTTTCTACAAAATAAACATTCATCAAAGATTATATTTGAGAAAATAATAGTTTCTTATCATCATTTTCTGCAAAATGATGAGTCCATTTCGTAATTTCCATGCATGTATACTCAAAGAGTCACATGACCTTTCAGAGTCAGAATGACAATGTAGCTGAAGTGCATTAATTAAGACTAATCAGTAAATACACAAAGGTGACCTGAAGGAATAAAGCCAATATGTTTTTAAGTGCATGGTATACTCTTAGAGACTTACAATTTTTTCATAGAACTCCCTTCTACGATCAGCTCGTCTTTTGTAATCAACCATCAGACCCCTGATCTTCCTCTCCTGCCGTCTTGCCTCGTGCCACATGATTGCAACTTTTTTTGTCCACTCAGCCTCTCAAAACTCTTATGTCATACTCAAACCTGTAGAAGAAAGGAAAGAATACTAAGGGCTATACTTTTTTACAACACAGAAATTTTACAATTGAATTTAAAAATGTTCCAATATATATTACTTGAAAAGTAAGGTATGATAAAGACACAATAACTACCATTGTGCAGGTGAAAAGAAAAATTTGAGAGCAAAACATTCGAAACTTGACCTATATTTTTTTTCCTTTCGAACCCCTTTCGTAACAACTAGAACATCTGTGGTCAGCTGTGTGATTCTCGGGAAAGTAGTCAAGTACGGTAGGCTACCTATTTGACATTGAAGAAACTGATCCGTTGAAGAAAACAAGGACAGGCCGAGGCGTGAGCCACGGACTTTTGAAGACTGCGTTAGTAGCGGTTGAGGCTAATTTCGGAATACTTTCTATCGGTGTGGATGATCAAATGGATAAAAACAAAGAAAAAATTACATTATTGGGCAAAAGTAAGCTAATTTGATCCTCTACAAAGATGCTATGGCTATTTCACTTTTCGAATCGAGCCGAACTAGGTGGGTCGCCATTTTGTTTTGCCCGAAAGTTCTCACAAGATCTACTCCTCCCCTCTTCTCTCTCTCTGTCTCTTTCTGAATACTGTCTATCAGTGTGGACGATCAAATTGACCAAAACAAAGTTAAAAAATGATGTTAAAACACAAGTAAATTAATTGGGTCGTCTACAAAGATGCTACTGCTATTTTACTTTTTGAATCCAGCCGAACTACGCGGGTCGCCATTTTGTTTGCCCGGAAGTTCTCGCGCTAGCCCTCTCTCTCTCTCTCTCTCTTTCTTTCTTTCTCTTTCCACTGCCCACAGACAAAATTGTACGCTTTTAAGCTAACAGTAGTAAATGGAACGTTTGTTCACGGCACAGAATTCTACAATTTTTCTGTTATCACAGTGTAGAATTCTGTGGTTCAGGGTGAACGCAAAATTGGTTGGCCTAGATCTAGGCTATAATAGCGGTTAACGTACACCGGGTGAGAATAGCCAAAAGACTCGCCTGCGCTATTCTCACCCGGGGTGAGAATAGAGGTGGCCTTAGGAAAAACAGGTCTTGTTTCACACCGGGTGAGAATAGCCAACGGTGGCAAGTCTCACCCGGGGTGAGATGTCGATTGTATTTTTTATTCTCACCCCGGGTGAAAGGTCAATTGTATTTTTATTCTCACCCCGGGTGAGGATAGCCACTTCCACAAGAAATACAATGGTCCAATGGTTGCCAAACCACTAGACCCATATCTCCAAAGGTAGTGTCAATTGCCACCGAGTGACGCGGTGACAATTGACAAAAATTGACTTTTTGTCAATTGCCACCGAGTAAATTGGAGCTCTTTTGCATTGTGGTGGGTAGATCTAGCTTATTGTGCTCGAGTGCTCGGTGTTGTGCGTTCGCCTCTCTGTCCCTCTGTGTGTGTGTGTGTGTGTGTGTGTGTGTGTGTGTGTGTGTGTGTGTGTGTCTTTTCCTGACCCCCGTCCCCCGATTTATGTTCCCCGATATAACGTGAATTTCTGCTTGAGTTTGTGTGCATTTGTGACCTTCTACTTCTAGAATTGCCTGTGTTGGTTCTGCACCAAAGTGTAGGCTAAGGCTAGCCTAAATCTAGGCCTACGTCTCATTGAAAACACGCGAAGTTGGTACCATAGCTCTAGACTAGATGCTCGTCCAATGAAATTAGTTGAAAACAAATTGACCCATTAGACACACATGTAATGCTAAATATAGTGTTATTTTCAGACTTGACACCGCTTCACTCGGTGGCAATTGACAAAAAGTCCATTTTTGTCAATTGCCACCGCGTCACTCGGTGGCAATTGACACTACCATCTCCAAAACCCTAGATCTAGAGTAAAATTACCGGTTCGGTCAAAATAAGGACGAAAACAGGCACGTCGACTTTAAAGCTTTATATCTCCTATCTGCCTTGCCCTAGAGACAAACCGAAACCAGCTACAGGAAGCCCTGTGATTGGATGACCCCAGGAATGACCTGTTTCAGCTTGTTCTCATATATTTGAGGCCCTTACTGGGTGCAAAAGTGACGCCCGATTTATTTACATGTTCGGTCACATTTTTTTTGTTTTCTCATGGATTCGGGCAGTATTTTGACATTCGGTCATTTTCAATTATTATCACATTTGTTTCTTTGCAAGCTTAATAACATGATTTTTAATGCTTGTTATCAACACTTGGACACCATGATAGTTTGTCTAAAGTGGTTTTCACCATTTATAGCTATTTTAATGAGTATGTATCTGACCCACTCTACTACGTGGTATCTGACTCTACCACCCTGGCATCTGGCTCACTCAACTACACTGGTATCTGACTCTGCTACACTGATAGCCGACTGTATTACACACTGTGACTCTACTACCCTGGTGTCTGACTGGGCTAATATATAATATGCCTGTATCTGACTCTACTATTATTTAAATTATGCACAAATTTCTTGATTTTTTATTATATAACCATTGGCACTAGAACTATATTATCTTATAAAATGTGCCCGAAGGATGAGAAACTACGGACTTTATGTTACAATACGGCACCCCCCCTTTGGGCAAAAACGGCGAGGCTGAACCGCAAATTTTCTTTCATCCTTGATGGGGCCTCATATGCAAATAACTCTCGAGCTTTCAGAGTTTACCAAAACGTAGAATCTAGGCCACAGGCTCCTCCATCCACAACCAATGTTAACTCTTCCGGGGAAACAGCTTCACGCTGTTTTGCTCAGTTGATGAAGAAAAGGCTGTCTTAAGGACTATTTTTAGCAAAATATCGCTGTAACTGTTGTTTCAACGAAAGTAAGGGAGGTTGCTTTAGGTTTGTGTGCCACTCTTTTGGGGCTAGATATCTAGACCTAGATATCTAGAATCTAGATCTAGATCTAGATTTTAGATTTAAAAACAAAGTTTTAAACGATCTTTTTGTACTCCAGTGCCCGAGAGCTAGAAAAAAACGTGCTGCCCGACCCGGTACGATTACTCTAGATCTAGATCTAGATCTACATCTCCTTGTTCTGATACTCTAGGAATATGAGGACTAAATGTCAATCTGTGACTGACAGAAAAGGGAGTCAAATTGGTAATAAAAATGTTTTTGCACTGGCACTGACGTCTCAAGAGTCGCACGTTTAGGCAAGCCGCTGATACTGATAAGGCAAGGCAAGGCCACCTCTATTCTCACCCGGGGTGAGAATAGTGCAGGCGAGTCTTTTGGCTATTCTCACCCGGTGCGCGTTCACCGTTATAACCTAGATCTAGGCCAACAAATTTTGCGTTCACCCTAAACCACAGAATTCTACACTGTGATAACAGAAAAATTGTAGAATTCTGTGCCGTGAACAAACGTTCCATTACAACTGTACTGTAACACAGTAACAGTAACACCCACCACACACCCACCACCATCATGCACATGTACACACTTTTATCAAATTGATCATCCACATCGATAGAAAGTATTCCGAAATTAGAAAAAACAGGTCTTGTTTCAAACCGGGTGAGAATAGCCTACGGTCGCAAGTCTCACCCGGGGTGAGAGGTAGAATCTAGATCGTTTTTCTAATAGCCACTTCCTATTGATAAAGTAAAGTAAAGATTAGATCTGCACAAAAGTCCCAGTTGCAATTTAAACATATTCAACTTTCCAGACAATAATCTACATCTAGATTCTACATGCAGTACTAGATCTACTAGAAGTCGTAAAATGCCACTTAACATTCTTACTGAAAAACCAAGAGGCAAGAGGGCCGTAGCCTACAACACATACTTGAGAAGTCTATAGAATAGATGCAAGAAAATCCTAGGCCGCCATTACTGTGCCACACCAAATTGCCTAATAGTAATTGAGAGAGCTTCCGGTTAGAGCAAGATCTAGGCTACGGAAAATGCGTTCACGTACCTGCCCGCGAACCGCTCGATCAGCGCTCGCCGCTCGCTCGAGCACAGGGAATTTTGCTTCGGCTCGAGATGAGATATATCTATGACTATGACCCTATATGTCAAAGTCAATCAGACTGAGATAGTCTTTCTTTTTTTTTGGCACCCACTCATTTCTAAATTAATACTTCATAGACTATTTGGAAACAGAACTTATGCTTCCTTTTCTCCCCCCACGTGTCCAATTACAGGCCCACTATATAGTATGTAGGCTAGCTATTGTTTGCATTTTTGTGTGTGCTGTGTGAGCATGTGCGTGTGTTTTTAAAGTAATGTGCTATCCTTACAGAATACAATATTTTCATTCTGGTATCAGTTCGAAGTCTGAACATTAATTGATCTAGTGGCAAAAGGGAGATGACATGGACAGTACCCCAAAAGTTATATACTGGTACAACCTTGACTAGATCATTTCAAATAAAATGCAGCGCTCCGTCCCATATAAGTAGGCCTATAGGCTTTGGGTGCTTTACATCGATGACATGATTGCTAAGAGTAAAACTTCATTCACACCAGAAGAAGAAAAAGAAGAAGAAGAAGAAGAAGAAGAAGAAGAAGAAGAAGAAGAAGAAGAAGAAGGAGGAGGAGAAGGAGAAGGAGGAGGAGGAGTATCATTAATCCGTGATTGAAAAGTGTTGCTGTGCACCGACTGGCCTTTTATTCCTCTCCAGAATGGCGGCCCGCCCCTCAAGTTTGACACGCATGACGTCATAGCTAAGACCTTTAGTTCTATCAGAGAGTATATTTTAGTGTCTCTGGTTCTATTTATAATCTCTTTGTCTATGCCTATTAAGCCCTAGGCTTAGGCCTATGAAATAACTGGAACAGAGGAGGAAGTTACGCCAGGTAAACGTTTTACTTGTCAGTTTTACCGCCATGGATTACGAGATTCGCGTTGGCGATCTGTGGAGACTAGGCCTAACATAATTAGCATTGAGTTTGCGAGGCGCCAAGTTCAAGATGTTCCGCCTGCCTATGACATGCGCGCGCATGAGAAAAGGGCCAGTTGTGACAAGCGGCAAGTCATGTGTCATTTTGTAAACAAATTGTAGTAAAAATAGTGTAGGGCCTACAACTGCTTCTTGGCCCCAAAGCCCTCGTGAGTGACATCCTCAATTCTGAAGGTATAACTGCGATAGTATCTTGGTTTTTAGATCTAGATATGTAGATTCTAGATCTAGATTATCTAGACTTCTAGGCCGAGAGCTTTCCTGACACGTCGAGTGTCTTGAGTCTTGAATAAATAGAATTAGATCTAGAATCTACATCTAATCTAAATCTAGATTCTAGATCTAGACTTATATAGATTCTATATCTAGGTCTAAAATCTAGATGTCTAGATCTAGAATCTAGATTAGATCTCTGAGTCTAGCAAGGTCAGGGGTGGAGTGGGCTGCCAGTTGAGTCTCCCAAATTGTTAAGGGTAAAATCTAGGGCTTAATACTAGATTCTAGATCTAGGCCTATAGATCTAGAATCTAGAATCTAGATCTAGATCTAGTTCCAAGTTTTATACGGCCAAACTTTATGCATAGAATAGAATCATGGATGATCTAGACTCTAGATCTAGATCTAATTCTAGATCTAGTGACAACTCAGTCCATCTAGATCTAGATCTAGATTCTTGATCTACATCTCGAATAAAATAAAAATCTAGATACATGTATGTATCACTAATGCCTGTTGAAATTCTAACTTTGTCAGTGTGACATTATATTATTAATTAGTATCATTAGATCTAGAATCTAGGTGTAGAAAGCTGCAATCTAGGCACCTATGCTAAATATGCATGGATGTTTGTTTGGATCTGGTTAAAAAACTACGTGTACAAGTACAACATGTAATAGGCCAAATTGTTGAATCTAGCCAGGTCAGATGTTGCGCCGCCATCATCACCAAAATACATAACTAGATAGGCTCATAATCATTCATTGGAGTTAGGAAAGATATGACTTGGGAATGCAAACCTAGATCTATATTTAATACATGTAATATTATATAGTACTAATTATATTATGGTAACATTCCATCATGGTCATACCTGTGTCTGGGGCTGCACTGTTTAAAGCTGAAAAACTCTCTCTCTCTCTCTCTCTCTCTCTCTCTCTCTCTCTCTCTCTCTCTCTCTCTCTCTCTCTCTCTCTCTCTCTCTCTTTTTTTTTTCTCACACACACACACACACATTCCAGGGCGCACCCCCGCCCCTCACGACACACACCACCCGCTCACTTCCTCATTCTAAAGCATTTGCACAGATCCCAACTCAACCAACTGTTCAGTTCACTGGTTTGTTTTGACTATGATGTTAGGAACTTGTAAGGCACTAGTTTAACCTGTACTAGTGCTGCACTTCGTGTGATACATGTAGTTCGCTCTTATTCTGCCATGTTCTGTCCCATGTCCCCCGATTACTATGTGGATATCTGTTTGACAAAAAATATATGGCAACGCGATCAATGGTCACAGCATTATATTATATAATCTCAATTTTTGTTCACCTCACCAGGCTGAACGTTGTCAGTGGCACCATGCAAGGAGGCGATGCTGTTTTCAAAGTGCCGAAGGTGGCCAAAAAAAAGGTTATCAATTTGTACTGTCATGAAACTTTGGCTGACCTTGATGAAAGCTGGGATTCACCCTCTAGGCCCACCCCTTTCGGTTGCAAAAGAAGCATTAAACAAGATGATAATAATATGCTGCAGAAATCAGAGCACTGGAAAAAGACTGCTTCTACTAGGTCCTATAGTTGTAAAGAATCCTCTTATGTCAGTTCAGATGAAATGATCTCTGTACCATCACAAGAAAGAAATACACGAGGTACCCTTATTAATTCATCTTGGAATCTCCAAGACATGATTCTCAATGATCCAATGCTGAATAGCAGAGCGTTTGACGAGAGAGGAGACATTGATGTGGCTGTAGAGTCGTTGTTAACCCACGATTCAGACAGTGATTTAATGTTACAGCACCCGGCTAGTGATAAATACACCAGCGGTCTCCTGGCAGAACTCACCAGAGCCTCACGCCCTTCCGAAGTTCCTGCAATTCCAGAAATGGAGTGGACAGTTCCTGAGCTTGACTGGCATCAACAACGTCATCAAAAATCGCCACAGCGTTCGCAGAAGCTCAAAGCTCACTCTGTCACCACCACTTACTCTGTGGACATGGATGAGGGCATGGCGTACACCCAGGACATCCTGCTGGTGCGAGACGAGAGCATGGCCAATGCCGATTCCGATTCGTCTGGGTCAGACGTGGACTGGGATTCGCTGACCCCTCCAGTGCCAGGCAGTCCAAGCGACCATACTGTGCCAGATTTGGAGAACATGAACTCTCCTACGTACGAGCAGTCCTGCTGCACCCACGACCCTGTGCTGGTCCCTCAAGCGTCTGGTCTGAGGTGGTCAAACTCCCGCAATAATAACATACACACAATGTCAGTGCCGTCGCTGGGAGGACAACGCAGTCTACGTGACTCAAGTTTGGATCAAACTGTCCCAGACTTTCTACTCTGATGACTTTCCCAGCAGACTTTTAAGATGTGCAAGGGTGAAATAGGGGTGGGTGGTGGTTTATGTATGAAGGAAATATACCCTTTGTTATGAGGGTAAAAGTAATGTTATGTATAGCCCTCCCCCCCCCCTTTCAAGACTTTGTTCTGATAGTAATAGTAATGTGCCCCTCCCCATTACGAACTGCTTGACCAAGAACACGACTTCCTGGATAAAAAGTCACAGCGTAGTGTCTCTCAGGGACAGAAAACCAAGCACTGGGTTCATTGTGGTGCGGGGAAAACATTGGGATGTGGGGGGTAAATTTTTACTTTTAGTTTTAGTGTTACATGTATGAGTGCCTGGGTTACATTTTGTTGAGCAATTTGCTGTTTATTTATATTCATGTATAGATTGACTCATACTGTTGCTCACTTTGTTGTGGCCAGTACATGTAAGATTACGTCGCGCCTGTGGACACTGTCACTAGGCTTCTGTGGCACACCCTTTTCTGAGTCAGATTTAGAGTACGTGTTCACATGTATGGTCGTTGTATCACAGACAATATAGGCCGAGGGACGCTGGTTAACAAAAGAACCGTTTTTATATGAGGGACAGTATTTTCCTCCTGGGGTAACGCAGAATACATGTGTACAATAATTATGTTCTTGGGCTATGTACACTTGTAAATATCAATAGACATCAGTTACCATGTATGTTTTGGTGCTACCATTTCTTTAGCACTGCGGAGATTGAGAGAGACCCATATATTTTAATTCTGTTGGAATGTAATGTTAAGTATCGGTACAAATGTACATGTACTGGTTTCTCTGTTTCGTCGGCGTAGATTGGGGGGGGGGGGGGTTAAATGTAGTAGGCAGGCTATAGTCTTGTGTGTGCTTATGAAAAGGAAGTAGAGTAAAGATGTTGTTATGATTCTTCTTCTTGTTCATCTCTAAAAATGAACATCCCATTCTCTCGTGCAAAGGCTGCTGTTCGTCACAGGTCCCCACCCCCCCCCCCCGATAGTTTTAAGTCTCTCTGCCTTGGGTTGGGCCAAGGTATATTTCCTTTAACTTTAAGTAAGTTTAAGTGCTTGGAGCATTGGGCAGACTTGAAGTAGATGGTTTCCTGTTTGGTTGCCAGTTCCGCATTGATTCTGCTTTGAGTTACGCTACGATCCAAAGGCCTTCATTTGTATGTGAACATTATTTTTTTCTGCATTGTAATCTATTCTGGTGAAGTTCAAGTTGAGTACATGTAATCTCACGCCCGTCTTTTAAGGACTGGTACAGAACGTCTCAAAATGGTTGATTTCTTCGTTATTGAGAGAAAAAAAAGAAAGAATAAATTTAAATGATACTGCATTTTAGGTGTCACCATGCCCATTGGGATAAGAATATAGTGTAATACTGCTGTGTAAGAAAAAAGCATGCACTTGGCTTTCTTTTCTTGAATTTTTTTTCCGATTAAATTTTTTGGTGGGGGGTAGGTTATTCAATTGTTGTTGAATAATCAGAACCTACCGGTGTCCCTAATTTTTGTTGTATTTTTTTTGTTGTTGTTATTGCAATATTACATGATGTGATAAATTTTGCTGTTTTAATACTTTTTATGTTTTGCTGTTTCTTTGAGAAAAAGATGAACTTTTGCCTTCAATGAGAATTGTTCTTTGAGACAGGCCACTCATTTATCTTTCGTTAAAATCTTTTTTTTCTTTTTGTTCATCAAAGAATATGTTTTTGATTGTTAACTCCATTGAGCGTGAAATTGTAAATAAACGTGGTGGTTGACATTGAAATCGAACAAAATATAAATGAAATGAAGCTATGTTAATTCCCTGTGATTTGATTTCTGCAGATGATCAATCTGATCGCATTTTTGAAAAATATTATTTTATCAAAGAGCAGATCATCATATGAAGTTTCAAGTCCTTTTTGAGACACAAAGTTGGGTACCGTCATGGTTTACCACTGACACTGACAATGTACAACTACTTGGACTGTGCTTATTTTAGAATGAGTAAATGATTTTTGTTTCAAATACTGACGTCAAGCAATCCAGATTTTTAAGTGAAATAATACTGGCTTCTACTTTGTTTTCCCATGGTAGTCAATAAAAATGACCTTTTTCTCCCCTCCCCTTTCTAAGATTTTATGTTAATTTTCTAATTGCAAGCAATGTACATTTATATATACACATGTATATATATAATATTTATTTTGTAATTGTGATATTGCAATACCTCTTATTGGATTAATTTATTGGTTCAGTTTATTGTAGATATTTTGTGGTTACATTACAATGCAATTTTATCTTAACACATGTATCTAAAATCTAACCTCAGTAATCATGCCTCACACTTTCAACAACAAACTACAAAGTAGGCCTATTACTTCATAAAAATTATAAAATTAAATTCCACCTCATAAATTAGAAAAAAAACAACCTCCAGTGTTATACGTTCTCACTAACAACAGCATAAACATTTCATAAACAAAATTTCTTCTGCCTCAAGTGTTTATCAAAATGGCCGACAGCTGGCTTCCAAAGCAGGAAAACCTCCCATGTGTACTTCAAGATTACAGATTACTCGATATATCATCTAACATACATGTATTTTAGTTCTTGAGCACATTTCGTTTCTACTTTCATCACATAGTTTTGCTTCTGTGGTCTGGAAGCTCCGATTGAGCAATACGGGTACATGTTATTTTACTTTTGTTACATAAATATATTACATTTTTTCATGAGACTGAATGAATGCTTTTTCCTTTGTCTCAACTTCAGCACTGTAACTCCTATTCATTGCACTTTTTGTATGCGACTACACATGTATGATGTTATTAACATGTATTTATTTGTATTGTAAGTGTTTGGTTTTCACTTTTCACTCATGCAGACTTCTAAACCATGGTAATTTACAATCTAACCTTTTGCTTCACCCAGGTTACTGTGCCCACAATTTCACTTATCAAATTGCTGGTGATCAAGATTATTCAGGGGGTGGATATCCATTGTTAATAATTCTTGTTAGGACTAACTAAGAGATTGTGTTATCACACAGAATTAAGCTGGGAAGGAATTATATAGAACACAGCTCTGATCAAGAATCGGTCGTACGACAGCCAAGCATTCGTTGCATGATGACAACATTGTAGTGTTCTAGAACAATAAGACAAAAATTAGCAAAATAACCAATGCCTCTTCCCCCCCCTTTGCATTTAAGTTGTGTTATTTGATGAAGATTTCATCTTTGTCAATTAAGTTAATTTATGTACCCTGAACACCTCCCCTTTAGCCACGAGCAGCAATATTTCTCTACTGTTTCAAGTTGAAAGTCATTACTTCTCGTTGTTTTCTATGTGGACAATGTTGTTTGTTTCCACCTTGTTGATACACTGTTGGCTTTATACCTTTGTTGCCTGAAGTTACTCATGTTGCTGTAAAAACGAGGTTGTGTTCTGTGACTTTTTAGCAGAAGGAACTTATGTTTAGGACAATTTTTACCATTGTTTTGTTCGATGTTATTCTAATAAACTCCTTCATTGTTGTAAATCCATGAATGCTTGTTTGTCATTACGTTCATAAAGTGGTGTGGAAGTCTGGACCCACGGGCATAAGCCTTCCAGTCTTGTCGTTTCTTTCTCTTTGTTGTTTCTGTCTGTGTCTTACTTTTACCCCGAACTAAATGACTGTCATTGTGTTTTAAGTACATGTAGACTCCAATGTCATTTTTCTCCGCTTGGTAATTTGGTTTGGGAAAATAGCAAGGACAGACAGTAAACAGCTGAGAGACAGACAGTAAACAGCTGAGAGACAGACAGTAAACAGCTGAGAGACAGACAGTAAACAGCTGAGAGAAAGAATATAACGGATTGGAAATTGATGCCCTCCTCATAAAAAAAAATTTTAAGCATTTTCTTCTGGACATTTACATACCAATCAAGTCTCCAGATGAAAGAAAACAAAGACTCTTATCTTAATAAAAATCAAACAAGCATTTAATAAATTAAATCAATACATTTTCATTTTGGAATTTCTGCAGTTCAGGAATGGGGATGTACATAACAAGGATGAAAATTTATCTAAAATGAATGAAGACATTTCACAGTGGAAAATATAATCAGTAAAAATCCTCAATGCAAATTTCACGTTTCATGAAAACAGACCATGAAGTGTGTAACAATCCAGGTCCTCGTAAATGACTGTAATTTTGTCTCCCTTTGACGTACTAGCCTCTGACTTTCTGGACACTCACAGAAATATCCTCTTAACCTGCAATCTTTCACTTTGCCTCAGTGTGGCGTCATACTGACCCCACCAAACACTGTACAGTGAACTGGAAATTGTCTTTCTTTTTCTTCAAAAAAGATATTGAGAAATGAAACTCAAAAGTCAGAAACAGTAGTAACGGGTTATGAAATGAATCAGTGAAAGGTGAGGGCACAGAAACTTTGATGAACTACAGTTGTGGTGTGCAGTTCTTATGGTATGTACAAGATCTTTCAAACTATAGCAGGACAATAGAAATCTCATAAATAGCCGCACTCTTTATCCACCAGGTAATCTAAAAAACAAACTTTTCAACACCAAAACATGTAGGAACATTCAATCTAAATGAAAGTGGTAATATCTCAATGAAAGGATATATAAATATGATTTCTATGATTATCACGTCTACAGATCACAAACAAAAATGACCAACTCTGATCCCAGTCTGCCTTGGAAATTGCTTTTCACTTCAATAATTCATTCAGTTGTCAGCACAGAGAGCACTAAGGGTCTCAAAGATATATAACTCAGGAGTAGCCTACCACCCAAATGTATCAGCATTTTTTAAAAATGCAATTAGCCAAACAGAAACTCAATTTGCCCGCAAACGTCTTAACTGCCACAATGTTTAACCCAGTTCCACACCAACTTCCAGCCTGCAAGTGGTAAAAAAGCAAGCTCCTAGAATTCAGAACCTTCCACTATCTTCAAAAATCAATATTCCAAGCATTCCTTGCAATTCTGCTTCTGAAACTGAATCCTCTTACTACCAAAAGGACACAAGAAACAAGTGTCACCGCAAGGCCGAAAGGAACCTTGAGAAAAGCATGAAGGACATAAAAACATTTTCCCACGCTTGACACCACTGCCTTCTGTGCAGTAAGTCTACATTTTAAACTTCAGCCAACTTTTCCACACGATCTTCACCTACCAAGCAACTTCCAAAGCAGTACACCAGAGACTGGTTCCAAAATCACAATATTTTCTTTCACTCCCATTCAATTAAATACAGCCACTACTATACAATGGACACGCAAGGTCACAGTTCTTCCTTCTCTGCAAAGAAACACAGACAAAATTTCGACAGACAAATGTACAAGAAACGAGCCAACACTGATGAAAAGAAATCAAACAAATATAAAAATAAATCCCCAATCAAGCACAAGTGTAACTGCAGCTTACAACACGCAAGCAATAGGAAAGCAATTTCTGTACAAGTATGTTCACATGACAACATAATGAGCTGAAAAAAAAATCTGCAATTTCCTCCCAAACTATACCTTGACAAACAATTGGAAAATTATTCTTTGCACCAACCCTACCATTCCCCTGACACAAATGACATCTGAGCCAAAAGCTCCACATTCTAAACTTTGTCTTTCAGCAAGGCATCAAACAAAACCCACATTTATTTACGAATCAAGGAATAAAGTACATCATGTCAGTCAAAACCTTAGGGTAAATTCGCCAAATTTTGCTCGATGTTTGTATTTAGAGCAGTTTGTTCAGGCAACCACCCCAATATTATGTAATTCAAAAAGGCACACATGAACACAAGATCGAAGGTGGAAGGACTCTCAGCAAGAGACGGAATATTAACATTGGTAGAAAGGAAGAAATTTAAAGGGAGCAGGACAGTTGTCATTTTTTCATTAAAATGTCAGTCTCATACAGAGAGAGACGAAAAAAGCTTGAAATAAAAATTTATATTGCGCACAAGTCTCTTTTGCTTTGCTACATAAGTCTGAAAAAAAAGTACACTGGCACGATCCCAAAAATGTGGTGAATGCAAGCATGTTGGCTGATATGCACAGAAAGTTCATCCCATTTGGGAACAATCACACCAAGGAATTATGAAAATGATAGTGGACATATTGAGCTTTCCTTTGCACATTTGTACTTTCCATGCATTCAATTAATCTTGGAGAAATCTCCACATGTAACTGCACAGTCTGTCTTTTAAGATAAACAAAAATAATGGAATTGATATATACAGTGGTCTCCAGCTAATAGCACACTCTGCTTTTACCTTCTTTCCACAATGGGTCAATATATTGGCCTAGGAGGGCAATTCCTTTCTCAATCAGCAACCTCAATTTGTCAAAATGAACGTTTTGTCCCGAAATTCTAAAACTGAAGAGATAACCCTTTCAATGATCGTAGCAATAGCTTCCATAAGATATGAATTTCCATGATGAGGAGGCAGTATTAGATGAACATACATTAGAAGAAATGACTGGTGAAGCAGGTGATGAAAATGAGTAGTAACAGGCCACAATTACAGCCCTTGTTTGTGAAAATAGTCCTGTAAAGTAATTTCAATATAAGTTCAAGGCAAACCTGTGATTTTAGGCTAAATATGGCATGACATTGTGTTAAGACTAACTAGTCAAATTGATGAAGTGCTGAGGATTTCTTTGGTCAAACAAGGGTCAAGATGATTGGTGAAGATCATGAAATGTTACCAAATGTTATGAATAAATGGATTATTATCCTTTCTTTATTAGATTCATAAGCATTCAAGACAGATATTTCATCATAGTGAAGACATCTTACAGAATTGTGAACTTACTGGGTTGTTATTCCACTCACAGATCTGCCATAAAATGACTTATATTTCACTTTGAACTGATGGTAGTTAAGCAAACTCCGCATGCTCTCCTTCATTACTTGAAATTGTGGCTTTCCCAGGAAAATAAAGACGCATAGGGACAATGAAGAAACCTGTGATCAGCAACGTGTGGCAGGTGGACATTGAGAGAGCTATTGTAATTACGAAGATCGGTGTAGGAGATTACTCGGCGTAGCAAAAACTTCACATCTCAGGGCAAGCTCAGCCCAGAGACAAAACCCACCCCAGGAGAGGCGTTGTGAGGTTGTTCACATCAATCACTGATGTACCACCCAGTGGACTACAGACCTGGGTATTCGCTTAACAACATGTTCACATAAGAGCATGCTTTTCTTGTCATCTGAGGTGTAAGCTTTTAACCGGAGACCACAGTATTAAAAAATGAGAGGCAGTTCATAGCTAGTGTTTACACAGACGCCACAAGCTTACTGAAATTCAGTGATGAAGAAGCAACAGAACTACATCTAGTATGGCACCGACTAGTCTTGTGTCCGAAGCAGACACAGCACTATCCATGTACATCTTTTTACACGTACTTCCAAAAGTACCACGAACTACAGAGGTAGAAATTCAAAACAAACGACACCATGTCAGCGTATTATGGTGATGCGTAAAGCAAAAACCTCCACAAAGCCTACACTGAGGAGGCAGCTTCGACAAATCTTGCCATTAATATCTCTCCCAGGTCATATATATTTTCTTCACTATTATTTTAATATTTGTGTCATTAACCCTATCCGTACTTTGTGTTTTACTATCGTATCCATACGATATGGAGAACTCTGTGCCATCACTTCCAAACAGGAAATTTACTCATTAATCTGATCCGAACGCTTTGCATAGCAGTCTGTCACAATGAGTTTTTTAGAAATACTGAAAGTTTCAAAGAGATCTTCAAAGCTAGAAGTATTCTAAAACATGAAGAAAACAACCCCGGGGGTACAAAATGACCCCAGGGCGTACGGATAGAGTTAAATCTACATAAAACTTGAGACCAAATTATCAATCGTATTTCAATTTTTATTTTTTATTTTTTTAAAGAAAAGAGTATTCCCTAATAATTCTATTTGCCTAAACAAAACTATACTGGACATAACTGTCCCGACTGGCAACAAGCTCAACATGTGGGGAAACCCAATCTAGTCTACGGCAATCCTTGGGTCAAGACATTCTGCGCTGTACATCAACACCCTGTACACATTCTATTCTCCTCACTTGTGGCAAGGAACCCAACATCAAGTAGAACAAAAGGGTCTCGCTTTTCTCCATGGACATAACAACCTTGGTTCATCAGCCCCAGCCAAAAGAACAGAAAATTCAGCCATACCGTTACCGCCAAGTTGACAAAAACATACATGATCATTATCATTATGCTCCAAATACTTATTCAAAGCTCAACCGTTAGTTCAGTCATCTCTACCAGCCAGAAGTACGATTTGCCAATTGTTTTCCTAAAATTCTGATCTAACAGAATTTAGAAAAAAACATACCCTGTCTTTGCAAAAGTAAGCCCCACTTGCCAACAGGAAAGTAAAATTTGCTTTTTATGCGAGACACATTGTAAGAAATTGATTTTTCGCTTGAAATGTCCCATTCTAACTTTGGCCTACATTTTATACAAATTATATAAAGAACAAAAAAAAGTCAGTGTTGAGCATAAGAGATTAAGGCAGTTTATAATACGCTAAAACACAGACGCTGGAACCTTTCTTGACTCATCAACATGCTCTGATGGACCTCTTAAGCTGAACTAGCATGGCAAACAGACATAATCCAAGCTGGAACAATTCACACAAAAGAAAAACAAACCAGTTCCACGATACCCACAGGCTCGCTTGTGGTACCCAAGGCTCATAGTTTCTCCACCAGAGCTGTGAGACCTCCCAACATTATGTCATTTGTATCAAAAAGAGTGTTTGGTTTTGGCGTCTCCCCAGGCCAGGTGACCCTTGACCTCATGCGACAGTGGTCACTGGCACTGGTCCGGCAACAGCAGCTGGTTTGGGTGTGGTGGCTGACAACGGAACGGAGGCGGATGATGAGCTCAGAGAGGAACCTGACGGATCACTGGAACCCCTGTGGCAACAACAAACATGGGTAGTAAGCACTTTATTGTATTTTTTTATCGTTATGTTTACATCTTTGTAATACTAAAATATTCCAAATATCGAATTTCAGTCACCTTTGACGCTTGGCAATGCAAACTTTGGTGGTTGTAGACAGTTGGGAGCAGCCAGACTTATAACAATACATCTTAGACTAGTCCTTGATAAGTGAAGTATGAATGCTATATTCTAGATCAGAAAACTGTTCCTGTCAAGTTTTATCTCTCTCTCTTGCCCTTTTTTTAAACTCCCAGTGGAGCACAGGCCATCAACAGCATTACTCCAGCGAAGCCTGTCCTGAGCATCCTTTTCTATCTGTTTCGATGAAGGTCCTCCAGCTTCCAGAACTGGCGGTCGTGTTGTTTTTGCTGTTGATGTTTTTGTAGCTGCTTTTGTTTTACGGGAAAGGGCTGCTAACCCTTTGCCCAACCGACCTTAGTCGCCTTCTACGACATGCGCGGTACGGATACAGTGGTCCTATTCTTTGCTCCCCTGTCTCTTGGACAGGGTCCCGAGAACCACACGGGAGGTCAAGTTCTATATTGTAACAAAATTTGTTCTTGATGAAAATTTTGCTTCAACAACAAAAATAAATAAAAGTAAAGAGTATGTAAAAAATACATTTTCAAAATTTACAAACTTTTGGATAAATAGACACGAGATGTCGGAAAGCCCCTGGTACAAACTGCTCAAATTCTACCGTACGACCTGACCTAATCTAATTGGCTTCTAATTCAAAACTTATTTCGCACATATATTCACAATTTTCACAGAGCGCATCACATATATGATAAACAAAACACGAAAGGAAAAAAATCTTACCAAGTTCCAGGGCCACTGAAAGTTAAGCTTCACATAGTTTTGTTTTGGTAAGTGTTTTACGGCGCTTGCAACTGCATAAGGTCATATGAGTGCATGAGACACATTAAGCATTTTCAGTTCGGAAGGATTGAATTTTGAATTTTGCCCCAGTGGCAGCTGAGGCCTACTGTTATCGACTAAGGACCACCAAGGGATCTTTAACGTGCGCAACTCGCCCACAGGAACTCTTTCTTTTCCCTTATCCGAGAAAGCTAGGTGTGGCTGAAAGACAGCAGTAGAAAGCCACGAGAGCCCCCTCATTCCACTTTAAACTTAAAAATCTTTCTTGAGAAAGAAAAGAATGAGGACAATGACATGATTACAGCACCAAGGAACCTCCTTTTTCATCTAACTTTGCAGTATGTATCAAGAGAAGAAATGATCATATCCTTTCGTCTTATCTCAGTTTTGTGACTGTCACATCACACTACATTAGTATTACATCACACAGTATATAAAGAAATAAAATATAACAAGGCTATAGGCAACAGATAAGTTTTGGACAATACAGAACATACGATTCTCAAAAATTTCTGACCACAAATAGTCTCACCTTGTAACAAAAACCAAGTAGCCATAACTCCAAATATAAATACTCACCCTGCAGAAACACTCTAGAAACTTCTACAGGAAGTCTGTCCCACACATTTTCTTCCATTCTTCCAACATTTATGCCCGTGTACTTTCATGTTCTTAAAATCTACAACAAAATTCCTAAGGGAATAGAATACAATAGAATCTTACCTATTCTTTCTTCTCAGACAGCTGGACTTACTCTGAGGAAGAAGAGACACTTGCAATACTCGGGACACACTTTGAGGTAATTTGGACACACTTAGTACAATTTTCTGGATAGACATTCCAGACATACTTAAAGGTAGATGGGACACTTGCAATACTCAAGACATACTTTGAGTTAGTTTAGACAATTGCAATTTTCAGGACAGACACATACATTACTCAGGACCTGCTTGGAGGTAGTTGAGACACTCGCAATACTCAAGACATACTTTGAGTTAGTTTAGACAATTACAATTTTCAGGACAGACACATACATTACTCAGGGCTTACTTTGAGGTAGATGAGACACTTGCACTACTCCCAGGCTTCACGCCATCCCCACCATCAGAAGCCACATCGGGTTTCTTAGCTGAGCTCCCTTCACTAGGTTTTGAAGTTTCCGACCCTGTGTGGCCATTTACAGCAGCCTCCGAGTCAACCTCCATCTTAAAATGAGACAAAATTAATGCATCATTACACTGGCGGTAAAGTTGGATAATAATGTGCATGCCTTTCAGATTCTACTTTTATGATGCAAGTTTACAGGCATAACAACTCAAACTTTTTTATAGCTCATTCCCAACACATTTAGCTTTATCTCTAACGCATAACGCAAGGGTAATAAATCCTTGCCATTTTCAGACATGAGCCTAAAACCAAGTTTGCTGAGTCCATAACTACATCAAACAAAAATTCAAATTTGTTTTGTTTTTTAAACAATGATAAAAAACAAAACAGCAACACAGTTCTGACAACAATGTCACACAGTAAAGCTGATTTTCCACGTTGAGCTACACTTTACCTTTCTTTCAAACAATGATAAAAGGTAGATAAAGAAGTTCAATACCACTCCAAACACAGGAACCATCCTTATATTTCATGAGAAAATCAGTTAAGAATTTTACCTTCACTTCAGCTTCTTTGACATCATCTTCTTCTTCTTTGATATCTGACTTGGATCCATTTGATGTTCCGTGTTCTTGCTCGTATTCTTCAAAAACTTCATCCAAATTATAGCGGCGGCGAAAGTTAACAAAGAAGCTCCTAACGTGGGCTTCAGTTTTGTTGCCGATCACCTCCGCAATAGCTTTGAAGTCTTTTCCATACTTGCGCACACCTGTGAATATGAGTAAAAGACATTTAAAATGATTGTTAGCATTTACAATACAATTTACATCATTTTTGAGGAGGCTGCCCCCACCCAAGCTATCTCGACCAACCTGATTATGAGAGAGATACAGGTTCCTCCTGACAGAGAGACCAGAATTATTTGATTTAAAATTTCAAATCCTATCGCAATGAAGTTCCCTGCATGCAGCAGCAAGAAGTCTCACCATAACACTCCAGACAAAAGTAAGGGGATATGGTTCTCCACTGGAAGTATATATCCAAACAAACAGACTACAAAAAGCCTTATTAATACACACATAATATCTTCAAATCCAATATTGCAAAGTTAATAAACAGGATGACAGCATGAAAAATGGTGAAAAACAAAAACTTTACCTTGCACTGCCAGCAAGAGCTCTTCATTTGTCCACCTTGCATTGACTCTGAATCCAGACTGCAGAAAGTCAAAGAAATAAGAAATAGTAGGAAATAAAACTTAATCTCCAGCATTACGCAAACAGGTAACAATTTATGAAAACTGAGCACAAAGTAAGCTTCCAGTGTTACTATGTTACTTTAAACAGCACTTGATTTCAAGAAAGATATCCCACTACCCCTGCCATTTCCTATTTTCATTCTAAATTTATTCTTTTCTCCAATTCTTTTTATTTACAACTTATACTTTTCACATCATGTAGTAATGAAAGAATTTATACACAAGACACTCATCCCTCTGTTTTAAGCCAGAAAAAAGCACTAATCTTAGAACATCTTAAAGATGCAACGCATGCTTGGTAAAACTTTTTGTAAGAAAAACTACTAAATGAAGGGATTTTCAAATAATAATCATAGACTCAAATGTATTTATGCACTGATAATCCAAAGCAACCATCAAATATGTGCATATCATCACCTCAGGTGGTTTGTAGTCATCCACACCCGTGCCCATCTTGTGTTTCTGCTGACTCAGCAGCTGCTTGTTATTCTGCACCATCCTCTTGAGGGAGATCAGCTCTGAGTCCAGAGCCTTGAGGATGACCTCGGGCTGGTTGGGTGGGCCGGAGACCATGGCCAGGAGGTCGTTCTGGTCCAAGTACATGCCCTTGGGGGGCTTACGTTTGTGTTTGATGGGGTTGTGTCGGCCTGTGCTCTGAGAGTCGTGGCGTTTGGGACCTGCTGATCGCATCACACCTGTGCGCCTGGATGTTTATCCAAGGTAAGGAGAAAGAAAAATCATTAAGTTCATGGAAGTTTGCCATCAAAGCTACGTTTGACAGGTTAAGGGAAGGAGCAATGAGATCAAAATCAATGTAAATCTTGAGACTCACAATTAGATAAATGAAAATGACATACCTCATGCTATTAAAACTGCAGTCAAAGTTAACCACAGTTTGTTCGGCATAAGTGATAAATCCACCCAGGGGTCACATCAGTTCATTTCCAAGTGGGGAAAATTCATTTTACCGACTGTGGGCTCCGCATCTGTCACCATGGATTCTCAACGCAATGAATCAGCTAACATCCTGCATTTTCCCTGCTCCCAAGCACCAGAATCTCAGGCAGAGACTACTGTACAACTTTATCATGAACAACATCCATCCACAAATCAACTTTTCAAAATTGTAGTTTTCAGCGACATATGAACAGCAACACTTTACCTCCAATACTGGTAACAGCTATGACAGAGCGACCCTTTGGGAGTCACATGGAGCTGTGAAGTTCCTACACCACAATTGACACACCGGTTTTTATCTTTCTGATGATGAAAAATAAACATTAAACATTAAATGGGGGGAAAAAAACAAACAAGCAAAACAATCACGCATATCCACTGCAAGTCAATGTAACTGTGAAAGTTTGTTTCTTTCCACAAAAAAGAAAAAAAGATTTTTTTTCATAGGACCAAAAAGAATACTTTTAGGAAAATTAACACTAAAGTGTATCCATTTAAATCGAATCTAAAGGTTACATCAGCAGCTTACAGTACACACTATTATGAAACAGGAAACACAAACACGCCACTGTTGGTCAACAAAATGCAGCACCATTATTTTCTTTTTTTAAGCTAGAGTTAACATGTAACACTCAGGGGCATCCTCCCAACTGACCACCCACCTAAATGCTGTGCCATCAATTCCTTGTCATTTTTTTTCCACCTGAAACTCACTGACAACCAGCATTGAATAGGATTTCTCTATCGCAATTCACAAAAGAAACTTAACTGGACATTCTAATCCATACATGTCTCTTCTATAATATCAAAACCACTTACTGAATCTTTATTCTTGTCCTCTTCATCAGAATTAGATGTATTCCCAGAGCCATCATCACTGAAAATGAGAAATAAAACATAACACATCACTTTCAATATCAGAACTCAACATCTATAATGTGAAAAAGAATAAGCCCACAATTTCACTCGCATACAAACAGAAATCTGACAACCTGTATTGAATCTCTATACTTGACATTTTCCCATGTCTGCTCACAATAATTTATAAAATTCTCAAACCAAACAAAACTGAACAAAAGACACCACCCAAATGACATTGGAGCAGAGTAGTACAAACAAAAGTGTGAAAAAAACGAAAAGGGTTTACCTACTGCTTGCAATGTTTAAAAAAAGTGCCTCTCACTATCGGCAAGATGGCTTAGGCTAAAATTATACTCATCCTTCCCAACATCGTTAGTAATTCTCTCCTCAAATCCAACTTTTCATTCTCTCTGGACCAAGGTCTGCTCCTAAATACATGGCTCACAGCACATCCTGCTCAGCTGTAAGGACCAACAACATACCTGTCCCCACCACTCCCTAGTCGCTTGGCCTGCCTGTCCATTACACTGGACCGTGAACGGGTCCTCTTCCATGAATAAAAATATTTCACCAGGGCAGAGATGGGTTTATCTGGAAGCTGAAAAAATACACACGTATATACAAAAAAATCTAAATGACACTATGTGAACCTAAAGCATATAAATAAACAACATTCAGAGAGCA